AGGTGCTGTGTAGTCTGTGTGGTACACCCAGGTGCTGTGTAGTCTGTGTGGTACATCCGGAGTGCTGTGATTCTGTGGTACACCCAGGTGCTGTGTAGTCTGTGTGGTACACCCAGGTGCTGTGTAGTCTGTGTGGTACACCCAGGTGCTGTGTAGTCTGTGTGGTACACCCAGGTGCTGTGTAGTCTGTGTGGTACACCCAGGTGCTGTGTAGTCTGTGTGGTACACCCAGGTGCTGTGTAGTCTGTGTGGTACACCCAGGTGCTGTGTAGTCTGTGTGGTACACCCAGGTGCTGTGTAGTCTGTGTGGTACATCCGGTGCTGTATAGTCTGTGTGGTACACCCAGGTGCTGTGTGAGTCTGTGTGGTACACCCAGGTGCTGTGTAGTCTGTGTGGTACATCCGTGTGTGTGTAGTCTGTGTGGTACATCCGGGTGCTGTATAGTCTGTGTGGTACACCCAGGTGCTGTGTAGTCTGTGTGGTACACCAGGTGCTGTCTGTGTGGTACATCCGGTGCTGTGTAGTCTGTGTGGTACACCCAGGTGCTGTGTGTCGTGTGGTACAACTGTGTGTAGTCTGTGTGGGTACACCAGGTGCTGTGTGAGTCTGTGTGGTACACCCAGGTGCTGTGTGAGTCTGTGTGGTACACCCAGGTGCTGTGTAGTCTGTGGTACACCCAGGTGCTGTGTAGTCTGTGTGGTACACCCAGGTGCTGTGTAGTCTGTGTGTACACCAGGTGCTGTGTAGTCTGTGTGGTACACCCAGGTGCTGTGTAGTCTGTGTGGTACACCCAGGTGCTGTGTAGTCTGTGTGGTACACCCAGGTGCTGTGTAGTCTGTGTGGTACACCCGGTGCTGTAGTCTGTGTGGTACACCCAGGTGCTGTGTAGTCTGTGTGGTACACCCAGGTGCTGTGTAGTCTGTGTGGTACATCCGGTGCTGTGTAGTCTGTGTGGTACATCCGGTGCTGTATAGTCTGTGTGGTACACCCAGGTGCTGTGTGGTCTGTGTGGTACACCCAGGTGCTGTGTAGTCTGTGTGGTACATCCGGGTGCTGTGTAGTCTGTGTGGTACACCCAGGTGCTGTGTAGTCTGTGTGGTACACCCAGGTGCTGTGTAGTCTGTGTGTGGTACACCCAGGTGCTGTGTAGTCTGTGGCACACCCAGGTGCTGTGTAGTCTGTGTCATGGTGCTACACCCAGGTGCTGTGTCTGTGTGGTACACCCGGTGCTGTGTGTGAGTCTGTGTGGTACACCCAGGTGTGTAGTCTGTGTGGTACACCCAGGTGCTGTGTAGTCTGTGTGGTACACCCAGGTACTGAGTTGTTCTGGTGCACATCTGCTGTGTAGTCTGTGTGGTACATCCGGGTGCTGTGTAGTCTGTGTGGTACATCCGGTGCTGTATAGTCTGTGTGGTACACCCAGGTGCTGTGTAGTCTGTGTGGTACACCCAGGTGCTGTGTGAGTCTGTGTGGTACATCCGAGTGCTGCTGTGTAGTCTGTGTGGTACACCCAGGTGCTGTGTAGTCTGTGTGGTACACCCAGGTGCTGTGTAGTCTGTGTGGTACACCCAGGTGCTGTGTAGTCTGTGTGGTACACCCAGGTGCTGGTATAGTCTGTGTGGTACACCCAGGTGCTGTGTAGTCTGTGTGGTACACCCAGGTGCTGTGTAGTCTGTGTGGTACATCCGAGGTGCTGTGTAGTCTGTGTGGTACACCCAGGTGCTGTGTAGTCTGTGTGGTACACCCAGGTGCTGTAGAGTTGTGTGGTACACCCAGGTGCTGTGTAGTCTGTGTGGCACACCCAGGTGCTGTGTAGTCTGTGTGGTACACCCAGGTGCTGTGTGAGTCTGTGTGGTACACCCAGGTGCTGTGTAGTCTGTGTGGTACACCCAGGTGCTGTGTAGTCTGTGTGGGCACATCCGGGTGCTGTATAGTCTGTGTGGTACACCCAGGTGCTGTGTAGTCTGTGTGGTACACCCAGGTGCTGTGTAGTCTGTGGTACATCCGAGTGCTGTGTAGTCTGTGTGGTACACCCAGGTGCTGTGTAGTTCTGTGGTACACCCAGGTGCTGTGTAGTCTGTGTGGTACACCCAGGTGCTGTGTAGTCTGTGTGGAACACCCAGGTGCTGTGTAGTCTGTGTGGCACACCCAGGTGCTGTGTAGTCTGTGTGGTACACCCAGGTGCTGTGGTCTGTGTGTGGTACATCCGGGTGCTGTATGGTCTGTGTGGTACACCCAGGTGCTGTGTAGTCTGTTGTGGTACACCCAGGTGCTGTGTAGTCTGTGTGGTACATCCGGTGCTGTGTAGTCTGTGTGGTACATCCGGGTGCTGTATAGTCTGTGTGGTACACCCAGGTGCTGTGTAGTCTGTGTGGTACACCCAGGTGCTGTGTAGTCTGTGTGGTACATCCGGGTGCTGTGTAGTCTGTGTGGTACACCCAGGTGCTGTGTGAGTCTGTGTGGTACACCCAGGTGCTGTGTAGTCTGTGTGGTACACCCAGGTGCTGTGTAGTCTGTGTGGTACACCCAGGTGCTGTGTAGTCTGTGTGGTACACCCAGGTGCTGTGTAGTCTGTGTGGTACACCCAGGTGCTGTGTAGACTGTGTGGTACACCCAGGTGCTGTGTAGTCTGTGTGGTACACCCAGGTGCTGTGTAGTCTGTGTGGTACACCCAGGTGCTGTGTAGTCTGTGTGGTACACCCAGGTGCTGTGTAGTCTGTGTGGGTACACCCAGGTGCTGTGTGGTCTGTGTGGTACACCCAGGGTGCTGTGTAGTCTGTGTGAGTACACCCAGGTGCTGTGTGTGTTGTTACACCCGGGTGCTGTGTAGTCTGTGTGGGTACACCCAGGTGCTGTGTAGTCTGTGTGGTGCCTGGGTGCTGTGTGGTCTGTGTGGTACACCCGGAATTCTCGTAGTCTGTGTGGTACACCAGGTGCTGTGTGGTCTGTGTGGTACACCCAGGTGCTGTGTAGTCTGTGTGCATTTTGCAGGTGCTGTGTAGTCTGTGTGGTACACCCAGGTGCTGTGTAGTCTGTGTGGTACACCCAGGTGCTGTGTAGTCTGTGTGGTACACCCAGGTGCTGTGTAGTCTGTGTGGTACACCCAGGCACTACACCCAACTGATACTCTTACACCCATGTATATCGATACACCCAACTGCCCCATAGTAAGTAATGGGAAACCTCACACAGAGCGCTAGAGATATAAACACACAAAGAGACCATGTGAGCTGACTCGTGTTTCATCTGATGGTTAAACCTCCTAACGCTTTGGGGTTAGGTTAGGTTAGGTTAGGTTAGGTTAGTTCAGGTTAGGTTAGGTTAGGTTAGTTCAGGTTAGGTTAGGTGAGGTTAGTTCAGGTTAGGTTAGGTTAGGTTAGGTTAGGTTAAGGTGTTTAATTATTAGGTGAAATAAACTGTGGCGCCTGATGATCACGGGTTTCAGAGTTAGTTTATGTTCCCACGCCCATCATATATATTTCCCATTAATACCACGACAGGTGAGCGGCGCGTCTGTCACCTGTCAGTCACTCAGGTAGTTTAAACTCTCGATTGTGATGTACAAATTATTTTTCACCTCCCCCAGTTCCTCCTGCCAGTTGATAATGTCGTATATACAAGGTATTAAAATAAGATCTTTTGGATTATTGATACGAATATTTGGAGACTGGTTTGGGATTTGCACAAGTAATTCAGTAAATGATGAATAGAATGGTTATCTTATTAGTGAGAGAGAGAGAGAGAGAGAGAGAGAGTACACAAAATATACTCATAGTCATTCTTCTGTTATTTAAAAATTGTTTCATTTATGCCTCTCTCAAAACCCGGAATGAAACTGTTATTATTATTATTATTATTATTATTATCATTATTATTATTATTATTATTATTACTATTATTATTATTATTATTATTATCATCATTATCATTATTATTATTATTAAAAGACTACACTTCTAACATATGAATTACTGTCACCACCTGTCACAACCTGTCACCAGTTGTAATAAACATTAACCGTCAATCATTCATCTATAATTACCTGCCACTATCTGTCATCAACAACTATATATCAGTTACATCATTCTATCTTCAGCTAATTATATTTCAGCTAATTATACCTCAACTAATTATACCTCAACTAATTATACCTCAACTAATTATACCTCAGATTATACTCAGCTGATTATACCTCAGCTAATTATACCTCAACCAATTATACCTCAGCTAATTATACCTCACCAATTATACCTCAGCTAATTATACCTCAACTAATTATACCTCAATCCATTTATACCCTCAGCTAATTTATACCTCAGCTGATTATACCTCAGCTAATTATAATTTCAGCTAATTATATAATTTCTCAGCTAATTATATTTCAGCTAATTATACCTCAACTAATTATACCTCAGCTAATTATACCTCAACTAATTATACCTCAGCTGATTATACCTCAGCTAATTATACCTCAGCTAATTATACCTCAACTAATTATACCTCAGCTGATTATACCTCAGCTAATTATACCTCAGCTAATTATACCTCAGCTGATTATACCTCAGCTAATTATACCTCAGCTAATTACACCTCAACTAATTATACCTCAACTAATTATACCTCAGCTAATTATACCTCAGCTAATTATACCTCAGCTAATTATACCTCAACTATTATACCTCAACTAATTATACCTCAACTAATTATACCTCAACTAATTATACCTCAACTAATTATACCTCAACCAATTATACCTCAACTAATTATACCTCAACTAATTATACCTCAACTAATTATACCTCAACTAATTATACCTCAACTAATTATACCTCAACCAATTATACCTCAACTAATTATACCTCAACTAATTATACCTCAACTATTATACCTCAACTAATTATACCTCAACTAATTATACCTCAACTAATTATACCTCAACTAATTATACCTCAACCAATTATACCTCAACTAATTATACCTCAACTAATTCCATGTTGTT